AAACACAATATTGCATGAAAGAAGCCAGATGTAGAATACATATGATTACAATTATGGAAAAGCAGGGAAGGTTACTGGAGAGCTAGATCAAAGAGCTGAGTGCAGGCTTTGCATGCTGGAGGAATAGATTCTGTCTCTTCCATTGCACATTCCCTACTCAGCCCTGGGAGCCAGGAGCAGCCTCCAAGCATCATGAGGTGTGGCCCTCATAAAACAAAAACCAGAGAAAACCCTTAGTGGTGTATAATAAAGTGATATAACTAACTCTAAAGACCAGTCAGCACAGAGGCTCTTTTTTCCAAAGGAGACAGGAATTAAAAGAGGTAAAGGGCTATAGAGCAGGGATTCTAGACACAAGCCCTCGAAGATGGTTCTGTAGCATTTACTTTCTAACAATTCATGGAGCAGCTCTGCATTAATTTTGCTTGGTTTTGTTTGTCTTTTGGGCCACCCCTGGTAGTGCCTGGGAACTACTCCTAATTCTCAGCTCGGGGATCGATCCTGGTGATGCTCTAGGAACTGTGTGATGCTGGGAGTCAAATCAGGATTGGCCACATGCAAGGCAAACCTGTGCCACTGGATCCAATATTCTTGTTTTTTTTTTTCTTTTTGGGTCACACGCAGTGATGCACAGGATTACTCCTGGCTTATGCACTCAGAAATTACTCCTTGCGGTGCTTGGGGGATCATATGGGATGCTGGAAATCGAACCCAGGTTGACCACGTGCAAGGCAAATGCCCTACCCACTGTGCTATTGCTCCAGCCCCAACAACATTCTTGTTTTATATAATCCTGGCTGGAGTAATAGCACAGCGGGTAGAGCGTTTGCCTTCACGAGGCTGACCCAGGTTCGATTCTTCCACCCCTCTCAGAGACCCCGGCAAGCTACCGAAGAGTATCTTGCCCGCACGGCAAACCCTGGCAAGCTACCCGTGACATATTCGATAGGCCAAACACAGTAACAAGTGTCACAATGGAGACGTTACTGGGCCTGCTTGAGCAAATTGAAGAACAACAGGAGGACAGTGACAGTGATGGTGATGCATGTTATATTTGACCAGGAAATAATGTTTCAAAAACTAAGTTCATGTTAGCTACTGTGTGGCCAAGCCAGCCTGCAAGCAAGAATTCCATATGCCCTGTAAAAGGTATGATGGAAGCTTGAACTGGGGTTAAGACTAGGAGACTTAGATACTAGAAAATTTAGGGTTAGAGATAGGAGCACCTCATGTGGAACATGAAAGGATATGAAAGATAGAGCAACAGGCACGGATAGCCATCAATGAGAGAATGCAAGTAACTAGCCACGGGTTTGACACAGAAAACTGTGAGTGAGGTTTGCAGATATTAGATGAGGGACTTCTGTGAGGCTCTTTAGAGGAGGCTGCATTAAAAAGCTGGGAGAAACACCCCATAGACTGTGAACACTGTTATTTAAGGGAATGGAGGGTTAGTGAGATGGCCAGGGGTTAAAGAGCTGCCTGGCTAGCAGCTGACCCTGGTTCCATCCTTGAGCCAGGATTATCTCCCGAGCACAACAGAATGTGCCTCCTTCACCTCTCAAAAAATAAGAGGGATGGCAAGTTACTGAAAGAGCATACTGTACTTTTTAAAAATGAGGGTCAGGGGCTGGACAGGGTATGGCACTTGCCTTGTATGTGGCTAACCTGGTTCCATCCCCAGGATTTCATTTGGCTTTCTGAGCCCTCTGGGAGTAATTCTTGAGTGCAGAGCCAGGAGTAAGCACTGCTGGGTGTGCCCCCCCCCCAAAAAAAAAAAAAAACAAAAAGAAATGGGATCATACCCAGAGGGCCCAGAACCCTTCCCAGATGCAGCCCAGTGCTGCCAGCAGTGCAGCCTATGGATCTGGTACTCATGCCTTTGGTGCTCTAGAACCACCAGAGTCACTCTTGTAGGTTCTGAGGGGGCCATGAGGAGCCAAGAATCAATATCAGGGCTTTGCAAAGGCAGGGCATGTGCTGTGCCAGCCCATTCGTGTCCCCAGATCTGTTCTATACTCTTGCACAGTCATTTTAAAATATAGTTTTAGGGGCTGGAGCGACAGAACAGCGGGTAGGGCATTTGCCTTGCATATGGCCGACCCATTATCCCATAACTTTCCCCGAGCATAACTAGGAGTAATTCCTGAATACAGAGCCAGGAATAACCCCTGTGCATCACCGGGTGTGTTCTAAAAAGAAAAAAAACCATTTTATACATTATTTCAAGGTCTCTTTATTAAAAATCTATTTTGACTATTTGGATTTTTTTTTTTAGATTTTTTTCTTTTTGGGTCACACCCAGCAATGCACAAGGGTTAGTCCTGGCTCTGCACTCAGGAATTACTCCTGGCGGTGCTCAGGGGACCATATGGGATGCTGTGAATCGAACCCAGGTTGGCCGAGTACAAGGCAAATGCCCTACCTGCTGTGCTATCGCTCCCGCCCCTATTTTGACTATTTGGATCCACACTAAAAAGTCAAGCACATTATTTCAGAGAAAGCATTCCATAAATCTGACTGAACATAAAATCTTGAAGAAGTGTATTCCATAACCCCTGGAATCCAGGATCTGCCATAGAAGTTCATATCTCACACACACACACACACACACACACACACACACACGCACACACACACACTTTGGTGGCCTCAACAAACTAGCTCCACACTGCATTGCCTCAGGGCACTGCACAGAGCACAGTGAAAGCTACTACACTGCCGCCCAAGTTTTAACTTTAGGTTAATTCTGGAAAGTTTATTTTTGAAATGACTCTTTGCATTAGTCTGAGGGGTGTGGGAATACAGTGGATATCTAGAAATAATGTTGAGTTTGTGGAAAACTCGACTGATATATCAACTCTATCTAGGAAGGCTTCCTGTATGAGTCAGTGGATTTGAGAATCATCCAGAATTAACAATAGAAAGAGGATTCCCCTCCCAGCCCCCAGGCTCCTGGGAAAATGAAAGAAAAGCAGTGGTTTTATTTACTTCTTTATTTTCATGGTGCTGGGGATCAAGGCCAGGTCCCAGTGTGGCACAGGTTCGTAAGCGGTGGTTCTAGAACTCTCTGGAATCGAGGCATGCTCTTCAAGTCCATGTTCTCCCTTAAACACCTATCTCCCCTGCCTAAACCCTGAGCATTGTCAGGTGTGGCCCCAAAACCACTACAACAAAAACACTTCTCTCCCTTGCCTTTCTGTTTCTTCACTTATTTCCATTCTGGAGAAGCCTGTGTTCTCCCTTGAACAAGTAGGCACTTCTCTCTCTCCTCTCACATTTTTCTAAATAAATTTCATTAAAGACTATCTTGCCTTATCATTTCCCCTCCTCCTGCAGTTCTTTTCTGTGAGGGGGTGACCAAAAAAACAAAACCAAACCAAAAAATCTAATAAACCACCTCTCTGGAGAGTGATTTCGTTTGCTTCAGGATGACACGCCTTTCCTGCTTCCTACTTCCCCACCTTAGGACACAAATCTTAATGATGAGTTGGGTTAGGTGAGAATAACCTTGGCATTGATAGATGTTAGTGATTCCATTAGAGGCCTAAGGGGCCTGAGAACTGAGAACACAGAAAACCAACAGTGAAAAGTAACAAAGGGGAATTCTTGTTAACTCTAGCCAACGCTCATAAGCTGTTTCCTGAGAATGAGCTACCAAAATTAGGCACTACTTGAAGGACATCACTGCCTCATTCCATTCTCACAACACTGCTTTATGAATGAAGGTACTGAAGCAGGGCCGGATTGGCAAAGGGTTTGTCAATCAGTTGAGGTGGAAATTGAAGCCAGGCATAGCACTAGTATTGCTACATTCTTTAACCAATAGACCCCATTCTTTTTCAGGAAAAGCAAATTCTAACTTCCTTATGCTTGGTCGAATGTACAAATAACAGCAGTTTCTTCTCAGCATGGACGACGTTGCTAAAGCATCTTGAGGTGCCATTGGTGGCCAAGGAGCTTCTCTACCTCTTCCCAAATGCTAGTTCCTTGGCTCTCCAATGACAACCATTCAGTTTGGGGTAGGGGACTTCTTGGGAGTTAAAACTGTGGCTGTCCTCTCTCTATTTTAGTCAAATCCAATATATCTGCGACTTTGAAAACCGATCACTCGTATGGGAAAGATAAACCCTCTGAGGTTGTTCAACAATTTGTCTGGAAGGTATGTGTACTGACACCCTCTCAGGAATAGAATGGTCAGCGCCTCAAAAGGGAAACGTGGCCACCAGAGAGGCAGCGGGAGGTGGGAGGGAAACTGGGGGCACTGGTGGCAGGGAGAGGCCAGCGGTGAGGAGATTGGTGCTGGGACATCTTACACCTGAAACTCAACCGTGAAGTACTTTGTAACTTTGTCATTCCGGGTGGCTCGATTAACAAAGAGAAAACAGAAGCCTGTCTGCTCTACTGGTCGCCCCTTGGCGTGAGGCGCTAGTGTCCACTGCATCGTCGCGCTGAGGCGGCGTCTCCTCTTCAGCCTCGCCCGTCCTGGAGGCAGAGAACGCGGGAACTCCGGGCAACTCCCAGATTCGGGGGCGGGGGGTGCTTAGGGGAGCGTCTGGGGAACGCGATTCGGGGGCTGGGAAGGGGGGAGGGGGCTCGGGCGCCACGCTGGCCTCGTGAGAAGCAAAATCGCGCTAAAAAAAAAAATCAAAAAATCCCAACCCAAATCTTCCACGAACGGTCACACGAAGCCCGGCTCAGGGGAAACGCGCCCCGAGTCCGAGCCGAGCAGGGGACGCGGGTCGCGGGCGCGCGCCGGGCGCAGGGGTTCCCCCCTTCACTAGGGGCCCCTCGCGGGCCGCCCCCTCCCCGCGGGCGCCCAGAGCCCAGGAGCGGCGGCAGGGCTGCAGCCCGCGTCTCGCACGCGCCCGCGCGCGCGGCGGCCTCATGCCTCCCCCCGGGCCGGCCCGGGGCTCCGGCGCGCCTCCCCCGCGGCCCCGGGAACCGGAGCGGAGCGGCCGGCGCGGACGGGCGCGCGGCGAGAGGCCGGCGGCCGCGCGGGAGGCGCGCGAGCGGGCCGCCGCCGAGCCGGGCCCCCGGGCAGCCCCCGCGCGCGCGGCGGCCGGAAGTGCGGGCGCGTCACTTCCGGGCGGTGCCGCGGCGGCCGCTCGCAAGATGGCCGCGCCCTGTGGCTCGGAGCTGCCCGCCAACTCGCCGCTCAAGATCCCGAAGATGGAGGTGCTCTCCCCGGCGTCTCCCGGCGGCCTGAGCGACGGGAACCCATCGCTGTCCGACCCGTCCACGCCTCGGGGCGCCTCCCCGCTCGGGCCGGGCGGCGCGGCGGGCTCGGGGGCGGCGACGTCCGGGGGTCTCGGGCTGGGGCTGGGGGGCCGCAGCGCCGCCTCGTCCTCGGTCTCCTTCTCGCCGGGCGGCGGCGGCGGCGGCGGTGGCGGCGGCGGCGGCGGCGGCGGCGGGGCCGCGGCGGCCGCGGCGGCCGCCTGCCGGGGCATGTCGTGGACGCCGGCCGAGACGAACGCGCTCATCGCCGTGTGGGGCAACGAGCGGCTGGTGGAGGCGCGGTACCAGCAGCTGGAGGGAGCCGGCACGGTGTTCGGCAGCAAGGCCCCCGGGCCGGCCATGTACGAGCGCGTGTCCCGGGCCCTGGCCGAGCTGGGCTACGAGCGGACGCCGTCCCAGTGCCGGGAGCGCATCAAGGTAACCGGCCGCCCGGCCCGGGGCCGCGAACCCCCCGGCGGAGAGGAGGCGCGGGCGGGGGGCGGGGGCCGGTGGGAGCGCGCGCGGGGCGCCCCGCGGCCCCGCCGCCTTTTGCTGCGCGCCCCCCGGGAAGGGGCTTTTTTCCCCCTTTCCCCAGCGGGCCGCCAGCCCGTAGGTTTCCCGAGTTTGAAGTGGGGCGTGCCTGCCGCCGCCCCTCTCGCTTGCCAATGGAGGAGGTTCCTGCTTCCAAGTTGGGAGTTTCGGGCTTTGTGCGCGGGGGGCCGCGCGCCGCCGCCCGCCCTTCCGCGGGGGGCCCCTTCGCTTTGTTCCCGGCCGAGGGTCCCCGGGCCGGGCCGGGGGAGCGGAGCGGAAGGGGGAGAGGCCCGCCGACACACCCCACTCCTCCCGGGTTTGGGATTTTTTTTTTCCTTCTCCCTTTTTTTTTTGCAGCGCGTGGCAGTGTCCGAGCCGCGCGGGAAGCGCCTGCCGACGGGCTGGCCTTTGTGTCAAGTTGCCGCGCTTCGAACTTGAGCTCCCGAGGCCCCGAGTCCGTGGCCGACGCGAGATGCTCCTTGGCGACTCGGGGACGGGCCGCGCTGGTGGCCGCGGAGCGCGTGCAGGGCCGGCGCGCCCCCGGGGGGCCAGCTGGCCCGGCCGAGAGTTGGTGTGCAGTTTGGAAGGGCGGGGGCGGGGTTGCGCCCCCACCCCCACCCCCAGCATTGGGGTCCAGCCCGGTGTCTGCCGTGGCGTCTCGCTTGGAAGCCACCAAGCTGCGTTTCCACGGTTTCGTCCTCCCTTGCCCCCGCCCCCCGCCCCCGCCCTCGCGTGTGTTGGGATGCTTCGACGTACCGGCCGCTTTGGGGCCAGGACTGGTAGCATTTTGCGGTTTGTACTGACCTGAGATCAGGGCTCTTGAGTCTGTATTGGCCCTGCGGGGCTATTTCCCCCCCCCCCCCCTTTCTTTCCTTTCCCTTTCTTCCTCCCCCTTCTAATTTTAGGTGCTTTCGGATTAGGTTGTCCCCCCCCAGTTTTCACTGAACTGCTTGCTTGGAGTCATGGTGTCGGTGGACTTGGCTGAACGCTGCTTAGGGTAGCATTGGCGAGCGTGGAAGTGCAATTCTGTGCCCACCCCCTCACCCCCAAGTTCAAGATCAGGGCTCAGAGAACGATCCTGCATATGCAGTGTTGCTTGGAAAAGTGGGGTCCGGAAGCTAAGATCTTGCAGACCTATTGTTTGAGTGACCTGGCACCTTTACTGAGTTACCTTCTCAAGTATAAAATGGATTTGGCTTGCTTGATACTGTGTATCCTTGGGTCTTCCTCTGCCCTCCACCTTTTCTCTTTTTTTAATTAAGGATGTCCTGAAGTCAGTAGCCCAGGGTCACCACTGTTCTCTGGATCTCATTCATTGTTCTCAGGTTAAAATTGGGGAATGAGATTTTGCCTCCTGCTTGCACACCTATCTCTGAACTGCAGTAGAGTTTTCCCAAAGGGGAAAGGTGGTCTGTGAAACCTGGGAAAACACAAACCTACTCATAAAATACATCACTAAAATTTTTTGTAGATTTTCAGACCCTTGAAAACAAATCTTTAGATTCCAGAGTGGGAAAAGCCAGTTGAGAACAAGTAACACAGGAACCTTCCACTGTGTTGTGAGGAGAACCTCAAGTAGAGATTCAGTAACCTCCCAGCTCTGGTTTTAAGAATAGAAAGAAAGTAATGCAGTGAAGTGTAGGCTTGCTCAGGGAAGCCATCTTGCATTGTGTGATATACCTATGAAGTCAACGATAAAAACCCAGTAAATAATTTCTTCTAAGTTTGAAAGGTGGTAAGCTATCCATGGAAACTTGTTTTTCCATGAACCGTTTTTCCTTTATTCACCTCCCCGGCAAGCTACCGAGAGTATTCGATATGCCAGACACAGTAACAACAAAGTCTCCAATGCAGACGTTACGCTCGAGCAAATCGACGATCAACGGGAGGACCTTTACCTTTACCTTTACCTCACCTCCTTCAAGCCTGTGGGTGCTTCAGCCTTTCACCTCACCCCTGCTGAACCATTTGTCATAGTTTCCCCTCTTGAATAACCACCAGCCTACACTTGAGGCTGAGAGGGGAGACCCTGTATGAAGTAGTAAAACAAGAGGCCCTTGGACTTGCTCTTGGATTTGCTCTTAGGGCACTATTTTAAAAAATTATCCAGAGGAAAATACCTCTTTCTGAGCATCAGGATTTTAAACTTGAAGTAAGAAACATTTGTTGCTGCATTGAGCTTTATTTTGAAGTCTGAACTTGTCATGTTATTAGTCTCTGTTCTGTCATTTAGGTCAGATGGTTGTGTTTGAGGCAGCCTGGCCCTGCAGATTCCACAAGTTTGGGTTCCAACATTTTGTTGCTTTCTGTTTGTTTACCAGAAGAATCTTTCAGCTGCTAACAATTCCAGCCTCATTTTGAAGTCCTGTAAACAAATGTGGACCAGAATCTGTCTAGATATTGCAGGATAGCCTAGGTATACACAGATCTATAGATCTTTCGAGAATGCTCATTCACCAAATACTTGAGCGCTTACTGCATGCAGCCTGTCTGCTAGGTGTGCCGATGGATGAAAGAATGAATAGCTCCAGAGCGCCCAGTGAATTTGGCAACTCCAGGCACATCAAAGCATCCGAGTGCTGTATCAGAAAACTGAGGAACTGGGGCGCTGCAGTGCTTGATGAAGTGTTAGGAAGAGGGCGGACAGTAAGTGGGATGGCTTCAAAGGAGGGCGAGAGTGCCTCACAGTCCATACTCAGGAGTTGAAAGATGGAGCTAGACTCGGAATTCATGAAAGTATTCTGTTCTGAGCCAGATGCTGTATTCACACTTCAGCCTGCAAAACTCCTGCTCCAGTCCCATATTTTTGGGTGTCCTCCAGAAATTTGTCACTTGGGAGTTGGCTTGATGTCTCTGAAACAGATGTGCTCTTCTGGCTCTGCCTCAGGATAAAATACAAGGTGTGGCCTCAAATTCCCATTTTTGCTGGATCAGGGCTGATTGCTCATCAGATGGATTTCAAAGTAGTAGGGGGTCTTCTGTGAAGCAAACAAAAGCGATGAAATTTCTAGAGACATTGCTTCCATTTATTCCTCAGTGTTATAATGGTTACAACAAATTTAGCATTCATACAGACAAGTCACGATGTAGTATATTTGGTCTTGCATTTCAGCTGTCAAGTCTTGTCACTGTTTGCAAGAGCAGAAAGGCTAGATCAAAGGGAACTTTGAAGCCCAAAGCTACTACCAAGTCCCAAGGACTTTTCTCTGGTGTTTGAGGATAATAAGACTTACACCCTGTTAGCACTGAAGGATGTCCCAGAAGTAATGGCACGCTGCCCAAACTGTTTGTAAAAGAGGCTTTGTCAGAGTCTTGTCCCATCCACTTTTTCTGCGTCTGTCCCTATAGTGGCCACACTGCTACCACTGATGGCCTGTGTGTGCTGTTTGCTTGTCTGCCTGGGAACCCACAAAGGCTTGATGGGACGCTTGGACTCATCTTTGACTGCCCATTACCTGTTTATCTTTAGACTTGCAGCTTTGGAAGGAAGAGATCCAACCTTCATGTATTCAGATGGAATGAGAAGGCTTTCAAGTTTATTTCCTGGTGTTTGGGGGAAATATAGTAGAATGAAGCTAAATTTTGTAGAAGATATGTAAAAGGAAAAAAAGAATTTCCACCAGAGCAAAACTATCACTCATTTGCGGCTGACCTGGGTTCGATCCCCGACATCCCATATGGTCCCCCAGCACTGTCAGGAGGAATTCCTAAGTATAGAGCCAGGAGTAACCCCTGAGCATCACCGAGTATGGCCTCCTACCCCCTCCCCCAAAGAATTTCCAAAGTACATAGTACAGTTAGTGTTGTTCAGTAAAACTGCCTGTAAAGAGGAAAAACCGTCTAAGCAGTTTGATGTAATAGTCACCTTCATTTGTTGAACCCTTGGAAAGTGACTTGAGTGCCCAAGGAACTGACGTTTTAATTAGGCTTTAATTAATTTAATTTTAAATGATAAATATCTACATGTGATCAGATGGCACCTATATTGAACATTGGAGGTAAAAATGCTCTGAAATGGGGACCAGAGCAATAATACAGCAGGAAAACACTTGCCTTGCACGCGGCCAGCCCAGATTCGATCTCTGACATTACATATCAGCCCCTAAAATCTGCCAGGAGTAAGCCCTGGATACCAGGTTTGGCCCCAAACAGTTCAGCCCTTAAGAGCCTGAAAATTTTCTGGGAAGGGGTTCTCTTGACTACACACTCACACCTGCAGGGGGAGCTCAGAGTTCCCTCTTGCCCTCCCTATCACCTAACCCTAGGTAGAGGCTCAGTAGGAAGGCCAAAAAAAAAAAAATGTCTTCCCTCCTGGGGAAGCTGACTCCTGGTGCAGATAGTGAGTGGCACAGCCTCAGCTGGCCAGGCCACTGCCGCAGTCTCGTTCTCGTGTCCAGTGGGATTTTGCGGGATGACCAGTGCGTGCTCTTCATAAACAGTACTACAGTGACAACGGCCACAGAGGGCTGGGGAGCACTTGCCACGTCGCTGTGGCTGTTGCTGTGACTGTGAGACAGAACTTGCCGTTTCAGTCCATTTAAGTTTGAATAGTCACATGTCCCCAGTGAGTTTTCTCACCGTGCTCCCCTTCACACTTGAAAGCTGATAGTAAATGTTTTCATACATTTGAAAGTTTATAGGAAGTTAATAGGATATAAGAAACAGTAAATCTAGTAGGATATAAATAAGATGAAGCTTTGATTTAGAATTATTAAATAATGCACTCTGAAAACCCACCCAGAATCGTTAACTGTTGATTATATCAGACAGATCTTAGAAATGGTTGATGATCAGTAAATATTCTGCTTCTATTTAAAGAAACAATACTTCTAACCCATATTACTTTGGTTATTCTAAAAATATGGAACCAATAAACGATTTGGGGCTGAAAAATGATAGTACAGCAG